CAGAAAAATAAAGAACAATTAAAAACAAATCAGTCTTTCCATATCTTGTCTTTCATTTACTTGTTTCCCTGACCTCCTCACACTTCCCTTTTTTGTATTCCAGTTCAATTAGTTAATTCAGCAAATCCTTTCCCTCTTTGTTTTTATCTTAATCCTTTGTCTTGATATATTATAACTTTAGATTCACATCTATTAGCAATCCATTTTTACATACACCTTTATAACATTGCTGCTAAAACCACTTACCGGTAACTTCATTCCAGCATCATTCTAACATTCATTAATTTTACAGTATTTCTGTAGATAATCTTTAAATTTCTTCCAATCTTCTTCCACCAACTCTTCTCCCTGGTCTCGGATTCTGCCAGTCATTTCCGCCAGTTCCATATAGTCTATCACCTTCATCTGCCATTCTTCCAAGGTGGGTAGTTCTTGTGTCTTCCAGTACTTTGCAATAAGTATTCTTGCTGCTGTTGTAGCATACATAAAGAAAGTTCTATCCTTCTTTGGCACCAATTGGCCAACCATGCCTAGGAGAAAGGCCTCTGGTTTCTTCAGAAATGTATATTTAAATACCTTTTTCATTTCGTTATAAATCATCTCCCAGAAAGCCTTAATCCTTGGGCACGTCCACCAAAGGTGAAAGAATGTACCTTCAGTTTCTTTACATTTCCAACATTTATTATCGGGCAAATGATAAATTTTTGCAAGCTTGACTGGTGTCATGTACCACCTGTATATCATTTTCATAATATTCTCTCTTAAGGCATTACATGCCGTGAACTTCATACCTGTGGCCGACGTACTATTTCTGGGTTAGCAGAGTCTGTAGCCTGAAGTGTATGTAACCTGAAGCGTATGTCACCGAGGTACCACTGTAGTGCAAATAGATAAATAGGTACTGCTCCAGTGGGAAGGTAAACGACATTTCCATGCACTTCTCTGGCTCGCCAGAAGCGGCTTAGTCATGCTGGCCACATGACCCGGAAGCTGTCTGTGGACAAACCTGGCTCCCTTGGCCAGTAAAGCGAGATGAGTGCCGCAACCATAGAGTCGTTCGCAACTGGACCTAACGGTCAGGGGTACCTTTACCATTAGGAGTAGCTGAAACACATAGCACTGTGGACTTTCCCTAATTTGTAAGTGTACTTTTGACAATAAAGAGTTAATTCCTCACTTTGGGCATTTCTTGCCTGACAGCGCCATATTTGAAGCAAATTCCCAGCAGGTTTTTCACTAGAGGCCTTAACCGGAGTAGCCAATGTGGTGCCATCCAGATGTGGTTGAACTCCCACCAGACCTGCCCACTGGCAATACTGGTTGAAGGTGATGGAAGTCCCAACAACACATTGGCTGCCTCTGACTGAACCCAGCCTTCTTCACAATTGGTGTGACTGACAGAGCTGGCCTGGAAATGCAGAGGTGGCTGATGCTCTCCTTGGGCTTCTAGTGGCAGCAAGCAGCTCCTGTTCTACATTTCCCACAATGCCTTGGGGCAATGCTACATTGGACATTCTGCAGAACTGTAGGAAAAGTAAGATGGTGGCTCATTTTCTCAGGTCATCTGCAAATGCACTTCAGATGTTGATGGGACAAAGAGGATAACCTGTCCTAAACACCTTTAAACAAGGAAGGGGGGATCTGTGAGCCTCCAGGTGTTGTTGAACTCCAACCCATCAGCCCCAGCCTTCAAGGGCAGTGGTCAGGCATGATGGGAGCTGTCACCCAGAGGGCCAATTTCTGCATCCCTGCCTTAAAACATGGGCAGGTTTGGATGAGAGAAGCCATCACCTGCTGACCCTTTTCTCTAAACTGAAAAATCCAAAAGGTGCAACCTTTTCTCTTAGGGGAGTTTCTTGAATCATTTTGGTTGCCCTTTTCTGAGATGAGGGAAGGGACAGAAAAGCAGCTTCACTTTTTTAACAGCTGATTAAACAGCAGATCTGTCAGTGCTGCAACAAGGAGAAACCAGGATGGTCCCCACAGAGCGTCAGCAAAAGGCTTTCTCCCACCCACACCAACTGAGCAGCAACTTGACTGTAATTGGGGTGTATTTAGTCATTACAGTTAACTCAGTAATTATCACCTTGATCTTTTTCTTTCTGTTAAAAGTTTATTGGGAAGGAAAAGCTGGGGAAGAAATGGCACTAGAGAGGTCCCACAATGACGGAAGGCAAGAGAATCACATCTGCACATCTGCCATTTTCTGCTTTGGCTTTTCAAAGTGTGTGTGTGTGTGTGTGTGTGTGTGTGTGTGTGTGTAAAATAAAATTAAAAACCCTAACCTCTGTCACATTTTAGAGTGAAATGGTGGCAGGTGCCCTCCTTCTCCCCCTTCATCTGCCACTCAAAGCTATCAGACAGGATAAGATTATGCAAGGAAGACAGTAATTAAATGGTAGAAGTAGGAAAAGCCACTTTAAAAGCCATTGTTATTGAAATGAGACCGCCCCCCTGGTGTAGGGAGAGCCTCAAGGCAGCAGCCCTGATGAAATTTCTTCAGATAGGCAGGCCTGGGTGGTTAACTGGTAAATCCAGACTGCTGCAACCAAACAGGAAGTTAATTATGTGAATACAATTAAAGTGTGCTTGTTTGTTTCGCTAAGTTAGTAGCAGCCCAGGTAACTGTGACCAGCCTTAGGACTCTGGGAAGTGGTGGGTAAGTCTAACTGCTCCTCACTCTGCCATAGTCTCAGGGGAATTACTTCTCCCAAGCTGCTATTTGCATTTCAAGGGAGATTCCCATTCACATCAAAGTAGGCTTCTCTTGAGTTGCCAATAACTTCAGAGAGGATGTTTCTGTAGGGATTGTGGCGTGGAGAGAAAGAGGGTTTCTGGACTGGGGCAATTTTGGGGTGGGATGTGATGACAAGAGGTGATGCTCGGTGCTCTTTTTCTGGAAAAAGTGTTGCCAGAATTCACCATGAAGGCCTCCCTTGTTCTCTTAGAATGGCAATGGCACCCACCTGAGAGGTGCTAGAACTGAGTTTCGGTGAATTCCAGCTGGAAAAAAAAGGCCCCAGTGATGCTTCTCATTTTGCTACTTGAGGCAAATTGGGAAGTGCTGCCCGGCCACTGCCACCACACTCTGCCACCTCCACCAGCAACAGAGAAGTGGCACTGCCATTGGCGCCAATTTCTGGCGAGATCTCATGAGATCTCGCCAGAAATTGGATCCAATGCCAGTTTTACTTCTCTGCCAGCAGCAGGGTGGGCAGGGCACCCAAGGGGGTGCCACCTCAGGGGCTTTCACCACCTGAGGCAGGGCTTCACGCTGCCTCATGGGTAGGCCGGGCCTAGTGATCACATACCAACAAATTGAGGTTGTACAGCTAAGTTGATTTGGAGCTCTTGCATGCAGGATAACATTTGCTTGATAGCATCCAACCTCCATGCAAAGAAATTGTGTATTTCTTGCAGGAAGGCAATGTGTGGTTTCATGGTTATTTCCTTTTGACAGGGTTTCCCAACCCCCTCACATTTAGTGTAATTGTTTTTAAGCTACCCATTCTGCTTATCTACTTTATAGGATGATTCCCTGCCAACCTGTCTGGGTTGCCCTGTGTCTCTCACCTTATATTGTCTGTCGAACCTATTAAGTTGTGCTGACATAAAATGTGATGGGTGGCAGAGGAGGGGGTTAGAATTAGATTTGGGTTAAAGAGTGGGGGGTAGATTACAGAAAATAGCCTATATATAGTCATATAGGTGTTTATTTGGGGTATATTGGACCATCTGGCATCTAGCCAGTTGGTCCTGAGTCTCAGCTGGCATGGAGGGTCTTGTTTAAGAACAGGCTGTCTTCTCTGTTGTTTGCGATAGGGAGTGGTCAGAGTGAAACAGTGTTAAAGTGCCTTTGTGACGCCTATGTTGGGTATAAGGTTTATAAGCGATGTTCTCAGTGTTATTAACAAAATTATTGGTTTGTTGGGATGGGGATATGGGTATTGGCACACTCTGGCACCACCATTGTGCTGGTTGTGTGTCAGATTTTAGCCTGTTTGTGGATTGTTTTATTTGGTATGGGTTTCTTTCTTTGTTTTCCTTTTCTTTTAGCTGCTTATTTTGTTTGTTGCCTTTGTGTGGTGAAGGAAGAGACAGAGATGTTGGTGTGTGAGGGTGGTCTATTTTTGTGTGTCTGGTTCTTTTTGTGTTATGGATGGGGTCCTTGGAGCAGGGGGCTGAGAGTGTGGGTGGTTGGGGTGTGGGGAGTGTGATTTGATGTCATCTGGGTTGGTGAGTGGCTGGGAATGGGCATGGGGGATCTCTATGGCGGGGCAGGGCAGGGGGTAGTGGCGTGCTGGTAATATTAATGGAATGGGTGAGAGGAAAAGGGGAAGGGAGTCTGTCGGTTTGAGGTGATTTCCAGTTGTTTCATTCAGCTGTGGTTGTTTCAGGGTTTTCAGTCTATGGTATGTGGGTTTGGTTGATTTGGTAAAGGTTGGTTTGCCATCTTGTGTATGTTTGGTGGGACGGTTCTGTGCGCGGTGCTTGACTGTACTGGTTTGCATTGTCGTGTCATTTCTGTGATTTCTTCTTCCTCTACTGTCGTCATCACTTGCTGTTGTTTCATCGTGGCTGTCGTTTGGTGGGTCTGTCAGTTGCCATTCTGGCAGAGGGTCGAGTTCGAGGTTCTCCAGTAGTTACAGGGCTTCAGGTATGTTGGTGGCCATTTGCTGTGCTGTGTTGGTGGTTACAATGAGGCAAAAGGGGAAGCCCCAGCGGTACTTGATTCATGCTTGTTGAAGACACTGGATACATTGGCATAGGCTTTTTCTTTGGCCTACGGTCTCTTTCATCCTGTAAGGCCATGATGGGGGTTTCTCCATATTGGAGAGTGGTTGAGTTTCTGAGGTTCTTCCATATTTCTTCTTTCTTTTTATAGCAGGCAAAGAACACAATGATATCTCGGGGGGGGGGGGATTCGGCATAGGTTTGAGAGCTCTGTACTGCGATCTTCAAGGTCTGCTTTCTTTGCTTTCTGTTTCCAGGTGGCTTACCAGTTCAGCCAGCTCATTTTTCGCACATGTGTTTTCCTCTTGGAACTGCTCTATTAGTCTTTCTTGCGTTCGGTTCTTATTTTCTAGAATGGAGATGGAGCTAATGAGGGTTTCCACTTTGGAGGTCAGGTTGCTGGTTATTGTCTGCAGGGGAGTCACTGTGTTCTTCAGTATTTCTTCTAATCTCTGTTCCATTTCCCTCAGGGATGTTGTGGGCTCAGTGCGGTTCGCCATCTCCATGGCTGGTGCCATCTCAATCTCCCTGATGGTCTTGGTTTGAGATGTGTGTGGTATTCTTTTGGAGTGGGTGTGTGGTAGTTAGGAGTTTTGGTGGTGGTTCCTGGGTGTTGTTCGATTGCTGAGTTGAACAGGTGTTGTTGACTGGTGGCTTTTACAGAGCGTCTGGCTTGGGCGGCCATTTTTGTCATGTCTGGGCTGTGTTTTAAGGACTTCTCTGGGGTCTCTGTAGGCTGGCAAGGTTGTGTTCAAAGCAAAACAAAACAAACAAACAAACAAAAGGGGGAAAGAAGAGGAAAAAAGGGGAGAAGGAAAAGTAGAGTAAAATAAAAGGGGAAAATAAAGAAAGTAAATAGCAATAGTAATAGTAATGATGAAAAACTGCAGTGCTGGTTCAAGTTATAGTATGAGGTAGATGATCACAAAAAGGATAGGGGGAGTTACTATTAAAAGTGGATGGGGATATATATGTATGCAGGTATGTGGTTTATTATTATTATTATTATTTGTTTGGGGGGAAGGGGAGAGAAGAAATTTAGGAAATTTCTAAGGTAGGAAATTTAAGAGTTAAGAAAGAAGGAAATAAAGAAAGAGAAAAAGAAAGAAAGAACCTGAAGATGTTGAGGTGGTGTGATCTGGAAGTAATACCTCGAGGCAGTGGTACCTCTGGTTAAGTACTTAATTCGTTCTGGAGGTCCGTTCTTAACCTGAAACTGTTCTTAACCTGAAGCACCACTTTAGCTAATGGGGCCTCCTGCTGCCGCTGCGCAATTTCCGTTCTCATCCTGAAGCAAAGTTCTTAACCCAAGGTACTATTTCTGGGTTAGCGGAGTCTGTAACCTGAAGCGTATGTAACCCGAGGTACCACTGTATATATCAAATAATAAAAGTAAAAATAAAAAGTATATAGAAAACCCCTTTGAGAGGGGGGAAAGAAAAGAAAAGTATGTATATATTTGTGTGTGTGTGTGTGTGTGTGTGTTCTCTTTAAATAGAAAAAGGAAAGAGGAAGGGAAAAAAGAGAAAAGAGAGAAGGGAAAAATAGCAATAGCAATAAAGTGGAATAAGAAGTTTTGGGGTTTTTTTAAAGGATGATAATAATAATAATGGTAGGGTGGGGGAGGTGCAAAAGACTCAGATTTCATATTATTCTATATATATTTTCCTATTTAATTTTAAAAATAAGAAATAAAAAAGAAGAGGACGTCAGGGCTGAAGTGGCGGCCCCTATGTTAGTTCAGGACTCCTTTATGGGTGCTGCCAATTTAATTCTTGAGTGTTAAAAAGAAAAAATTGAGGGGGGAAAGAAAAAATGTATTAAAAATCTTTTTTAAAATTAAGCAAAGGGGGGGGGGGAAATTGCTTTGGGTCCTGTGTCCATTTGCAGCCGCCTGTGGCACCCCTCTGCCAACAGGGGAGGACCTGCGCAGCGCCCTTTTTCTCCCGGGGCGATTCCCTGATGAGTCCCTGCCCGCTTCTCTTCCGCTGGTCACTAGAGGGGTCGGGTCAGGGCCGGGTTTGGACTGGGCCATGTGCTTCTATGCAGCCTCCCTGGCTCTCCCGGTCCCCCTCCTCCTCCTCTCTCTCTTGATGGCTGCAGTGGTGGTGGCCGTGACAGTGGAGGCTGGCAAGTGTTTGGTGGGGTGGGGGCTGCATTGTCTGTTGGGCTCCAGAGGCTTCCGGACTCCGATCTCTGTTGGAACACTGCTGGGGTGATCCCAGTCCTGTTGCAGCTGAGGTTGTCAGGTGGGGGGGTTGGGAGCCTCGTGCGGCCTCCTTAGTCCTCATGTTAGGCACCCCTGGCTCCCTCCTGCTCGTGGCCACAGTTTTGGCAATGCAGGGACCAGCCAGAGAGCCCTGCAGGTGCTGGCGGTCCCTATAATAATAATTTATTATTTATACCTCGCCCATCTAGCTGACTTTCCCGAGCCACTCTGGGCGGCTCCCAATCAAATGTTAAAAACAATACAGCACATTAAAAATTTCCCTAAACAGGGCTGCCTTCGGATGTCTTTTAAAGATAAGATATCTGCTTATTTCCTTCACATCTGAAGGGAGGGTTTTCCACAAGGTGGGCGCCACTACCGAGAAGGTCCTGTGTCTGGTTCCCTGTAACCTCACTTCTCGCAATGAGGGAACCGCCAGAAGGCCCTCGGCGCTGGACCTCAGTGTCCGGGCAGAACGATGGGGGTGGAGACGTTCCTTCAGGTATACTGGGCCAAGGCAATTTAGGGCTTTAAACACTTTGAATTGTGCTCGGAAACGTACTGGGAGCCAATGTAGGTCTTTCAAATCCGGTGTTATGTGGTCTTGGCAGCCGCCCCCAGTCACCAGTCTAGCTGCTGCATTCTGGATTAATTGCAGTTTCCAGGTTACCTTCAAAGGTAGCCCCATGCAGAGCGCATTGCGGGAGATAACTAGAGTGTGCACCACTCTGGTGAGACAGTCTGCAGCAGGTAGGGTCTCATCTTGTGTACCAGGTGGAGCTGACAAACAGCTGCCCTGGACACAGAATTGACCTGCGCCTCCATGGACAGCTGTGAGTCCAGAATAACTCCTAGGCTGCGTACCTGGTCCTTCAGGGCACAGTTACCCCATTCAGGACCAGGGAGTCCTCCACACCCGCCCACCCCGTCCCCAAAAAACAGTACTTCTGTCTTGTCAGGATTCAACCTCAATCTGTTAGCTGCCATCCATCCTCCTATGAGCTCTGCACTTGCCATCTTGCCTCGCCAGAAGTCCCAGAACCCCTCACAGAGTTACAGTCCCCAGCAACTTTTAACCAACTACAGTTTCCACAATACTTTCTTTATTTAAACAATTTACATACTGCTTAACTACAATAATCTCTGAGCTGTTTACAAGGTATACAATGCAAAAAGATATTAATTGGTTAAACCTATGAAATCAGATTTCAATGAGACAATCAGACTTTGAGGGAAAGCCAATCTGAATGGCTTTAAAAGTGGATTAGACAAATGCATAGAGGATACTGCTGTCAATGGCTACTAGCCACGCTGGAGGCAACACTGCTTCTGAACGCCACTTGCTGGAAACCATAAAAACGTGTTCATCCTACATATGTGTTCCTCATGTGTATTTAAGGGTGTGTGTGTGTGTGTGTGTATATACACACACACCACGAAAAGAAAACATATATACATATATACAATCCCAAAAGATGTCATAATGCCAGGATGAGTTAATTTTTACAGGTGACAAAATACCACAGCTGAATCACAGAGAAAATTCATAAACCAACATGATGTAGTGGCTCATATTGGGGTTGGATCAGGGAAACCTGGGTTCAAATCCTCCTTGTGCTATGACATTCACGTGTGAGATAGATTAGGTTGTTGTGAGGATAAAATTAAAACATCCATATAGACCACCCTGAGTCTCTTGGAACAAGGAACTGACAAGCCCAAATAGTAAAATACCTTGGGGAAAATAGTATATGGAGAGGGATTGTGTAACAAATTATTAACTTGGACCCATTTATTGTCTGCAAACAGCATCCATTGGGAAAGGTTCTTAGAAAGAAAGGAAATGTGTGTGTTTCCCAAAATTTTAATAAATGTAAATGAAGATGGAAAGCAGTTATGTCTCACACTAGAAAAAGAGAAGGAATTTGTTACTTCAAAAGCAATAGAGTTATAACAATTTAGGAACCCTTTTGGCCACTTCACGTGTAACCTTTATAAAGCAGTAAAATCACATAGTTTATTAAGCTGGGATCAAACAGCAGGCGCTTTCTCCATCTCTGTCACCTTCAGTCACACACCAGTTATGGCAATTTAGTTCTGGCCTCTAAAAACTAGAATCGAGAAAGTGAGGTTTACTGTTGGGTTACTAACCTGGAACTTAATCCATAGCTTGTTTCTGGTTCATAAGCCAATGTGAAATCACTGGATCCTGTTGTGGATGCAACAAGGAACCGTGGTTTTTTGTCACTAGGGTCACAGCATCCAAGTCAACATCATGGTTTAGGACGCCATGATTCTTACATCAGAAAGGCCTTTTGTTTACTGTTCTTAGCTTGATCATCTTTGTCCCATTGTCACTATTCTGCCATTTTTAACTTGAGAATGATCAACATGGTGACGAAAAGACAATGTTAAAACTTCAGAACTATCTTCTAAGCATAGAAGCCATTCAGTACTACAGACAAGCTTTCTGTGCATATTGTTTCCATCAAAGATGCCTGCACTTCCACTGTAGAACGTATTAAATTGTTTTCACTAGGCACCCACCTTGGGTGCTTTTGTCTGGCTGGATTGTGTCCTTGACAGCTTGATAATGTCTCTTGCTTGCCTGGATGGAGGATAGAGGGGTGTGCAGAAATTAGCCTACTATACGAAGGTACAATGCACATCCAGTTCTCCACCCACTTCTGCCCACTTCTGGCCCTGCCCACCACTGGTATGTGGCCCTTGGAACCTTGCCCCTCAGGATCACAAATGTTCTGCATCCATGCTGTACCTTAGTCTCCCTCTTGGATATATCTCCAGGCTCTGAGAGCATCATCTGCAAACACATTCATTTCCAGTCAAAGAGTCAGTTATTTGTCACCCCCTCCCCAAAAAAATCCCCCTCTCCATCAACCCCTCCCCATCACACGACACAGAATTTGGACTAAATGTGAAGAGGCTCTCTCGTTGTGTCCCATCCCCCTTCACACAGCCTCCTGCCTGCCTTTTTTAATCCAGCGTGTTATAGGCGATCTTCTCTAGTGACGTATCGGTATCATACTCCACATGCACTATAGCTGACAAAGCAGCTCCCTTGTTATCATGGGAGGTATCACGTGAGATCTCAGAGACTTTGTCAAAAGTCAAATCATTATCCTCCCCTTGGAGGGACATGGTGTGAGGCAGAAGCTGTGGGTCACTCAAGACCACCAGGTCTTTCTGGCAGGTGGTGTCGTGATGGTATGAAACCAGCTCATTGCTGAAGTTCACCGTCTCCACAGCATTGTTGGGGCAGAAGCGGCCACAGCCCAGGATGGTTGTAAAGGCCTTTCGGAAGTCAGCATTGAAGGCATAGATGATGGGGTTGAGAGAAGAGTTTGCCCAGCCAAACCAAACAAAGATGTTGAAAACTGTGTCGCTGACACACGGCAGTTCTGCCAGCTGATGCAGGTTGTGGTCACAGAAGGGGATGATGCAGTTGAGCACAAAGAAAGGAAGCCAGCAGAAGACAAAGACCCCCATTATAATGGAGAGGGTCTTGAGGACCTTAGTTTCTTTTCTGAAGGAATTCTTCAAGGACACTTCATGGGGACACTCGTTGCTTTGGCAGCTCTGGGCGTGTTCCACGGCCCTCTCTAGAGAGGAGATCCTCCTTATCTGTCGCTGAGCAATGCAGAAGATCCTGGTGTATGTCACGATCATGATAACAACAGGGATGTAGAAGCTGATGAGGGAGGAGGAAATAGCATAGGTCCTGTTGAGGCTGGAGTCACAGTTTTCCTCTGAGTTCCAGGTGATGTTGAAGTCTCTCTGGTGGGCAGGAGGAAGCTCCTTGGCTTGGTGCCATCTCAGCTGGACGGGTATGAATGAGATCAAGACGGAAAGCATCCAAGCCACCCCAATCATGACAAAAGCCACTCGCTGGGTCATCTTCCGCTCATAGCGGAAGGGGCTGGAGATGGCCCAGTAGCGGTCCAGACTGATTATGCACAGGTTGAGGATCGAAGCCGTGGAGCACATGATGTCAAAAGCCACCCAGACATCACAGAAGCTGCCAAAGGGCCAGAAGCCAGCCACTTCAGTGACCGCCTTCCACGGCATCACCAGCATGGCTACCAAGAGGTCCGAAACAGCCAGGGAGATGACAAACAAATTGGTGACTTTTGAGCGCAGGTGCCTGAACTTGACCACTGCCATGCATACAAGGGTGTTTCCCAGTAGGGTGGAGAGGATGAGGAGGAGGAGCAAAGTGGCCAACACCACTTGTAGGGACATCTCTGAGTGCTCTTCCTCTGCTCGGCCTTCTTTATTGAGGGTATCATTAGTCATGGCTGATGCACCAACACGTCCTCCTCTTCGCAAGTAAAGCTCATCCATGCCTACCTGCAGTCCTCCAGCGTCCAGAGTGTTCACCTTCTGCTACATCACCACCGGCCCATCATATCCCTGCTCCTCTCCTTCTTGAAACTCAGAAGCAAACGCTGTTGGCTCCCCAACCCCCAGGATCTCCACCAGATCTTCAGCTCAAAGGAGCAATGCTCAACCTTTCACTCCTTTCCAAGATTCCTACCGGCAGCCTGGCATTTCCCCCACCCACTTTGCTTTTCAGACTGCCACTCAAAGCCAGCCAGTTCTCACCTACTACACTTTTTGCCAAGTGGACTCTCATATAACAAGCCCACCTCCCCTCCCCTCTATTTTTTAGGAGCTCATCAGCTTCTCTATGCTACCCCCCAAGCACAAGACCCTCTTGTGCTGGCTAGGATTTGGATGAGGCTTTATATGGGATGAATACAAGACCTGGGATTTCTCCGCTGTTGCTGCTGCTGCTGGATGCTCTTTCTGCCTTTGAGCTCACTGTGGCTGCTGTTGCTCCTGTTCCTGCTCGGCTTTGGTGAGAATCCTTCCTTATCTCTGCGCACTCTTTGCTCTGGGACCTTAGGCAAGGTGCATGTTAGCAGACAGACAGGCTCTCAGGAAGAGTAGTGCGAGGAGCAAGAGAATGAGCAGTTAGATGCAGTCTTTCATTTAGTGGCAGTCAAGGGTGGAAATTCAAATTCAGTAAAAGAGACTCTTGTAGGCGGCAGGGAGAGGAAGCAGAACAGGGCAGTCAGAAGAGGTTTGTGTTCAGTGTGTGAATTAAGGCAGCCGGGGCCCCATTCCTTACAGAATACAAATCCCCTTAGCTACCGTCAGTACAGGGATTACAATAATTTGGTTACGGACTCCCCTTCCCTTTTGCCCCATAATCTCTGCTCTGGTTTGTGGTCCCCGAATTTCCTATAAACTCCAGTCAATTACTTCCAATAAGAATATTCTTCCAAGTGGAACTTTGGATTCCTTACATGCACAGTATTGGGAAATGGATTGATTGTTGTTGCTGCTGCTGCTGCTGTGGTGGTAGGTATTTGCTTTCCTCGGTATTTTTTTTTAAATTCCATTTATATTATCGACTTTATATTATATTTGTATTATCCCATTTTCTGTGATGTTTTTCTTATCTCCCCCTTTGCTGCAGCCTGTCTTACCTCTTTTTTTAGCATAGTCATAACACAATAATCTTTAAGTGTTCTGTTGCTCATAGTTCAAAACCTGCTTGCGGGTTCTTCATGTTGTAGTATTTCTTTAAATAATCTGAGAAAAGCTTCCATTCTTTTTATTTTATTTTTAAAAATCATTAGCTGTTAGCTTCACTGACTTAACATAGTCTATCACTTTACTTATCCATTCTTCTTTTGTGGGAACTTCTTCATCTTTCCATTTCTGAGCATAAAGGAACCTAGCTGCTGTAGTTACATACATAAACAACCTGACCATCTTTTTTTACTATTATTATTTCTATACCTATAATCCCTAGCAGAAAAGCTTCAGGTATGTGGGTTTTGGGGGTTTTGTGTGTGTGTGTGTGTTTTGTATACTCAGTTTAAATATCTTTTTATAATCTCCCTCAGTACTGAGTAATCTGATCATTCTCTTTTTTTTTTTATGAACATGAACATAAGCAACTTTTAAAGCAAGAAATCCCACAGCCTTTTCCTAGTTTATTCCCTACAAGGAGAGATGACACCCAGCAAAAAGGCCAGACTAAAATAATTTAGCTGGACTCCAAAGCAGGGATGGGGATCTTCTGGCTTGTGAGCCAGACTTTGCCCACCAGAATTTCCGTTGTCCCACAAACATGCCCACATGCCTCACACCAGATGTGATATGTGGCACCAGGGCAGGTACAGATGCGTTTGTATAAAGTAGGATAGCTCCCCATGCATCAGATGATGTGCAGCGATTTCAATCCTGATTGGTTTGTGTGCACCAGGAAGCAACTGGCTGGCATGACTGATCCTGCAGAAAGCAGGATTGAACCCTCTGCACATCAGCTGAGACACAGAAAGTTCTATCCTGCTCCGTTTTGGTGCACCAGCCAGTTCCCGAATCCTGCAGGAAGTGGTGAGCATGGTGGGTTCAATACAGTTCAGGACATATCTCCCTTCCCCACCCCTGAGGGCCAACTATGTCAGGTATGCAGGACCACCCACCTGAGGTGAAATTAACAATAATAGAATAACTGAAGGGGGGTTGTGGGTCCCTTCCAGCGCTATGATTCTATGAAAATTGGTTGGAATTCAAGGTTAATCAGGTGTGTCTGCAATATCTGCCGGACTGAAGTTCCAGAGCACAATTTACTAGTCCGAAGTGATTCTCTTCCACTAGTCTGCCAGCAGCACTTTAAAACAAGGCTGGGAATCAGCAGCACTGACCTCATTTAAGTTCAGGTTAGTCTTCAAATTAATGGCCCATATTCTGTCCTAATTTCACTTGAGTTCCTGCAGGGCTCGATGTGACCCACAAGGCTTGGATGTTATTACACAGTAGAAGAAAACGGTAGAAAAAGGTGCAAGTCACTACCCATCCAGGCCTGGAGCCAAGGCAGCTGCAGAAGCCTCTCCTCTCATGCGAGCCTTCCATTCTCAGCCCTTCTGAGGTGCCAACACTTTGCATTTCTTCCTTTTGAGGGAGGGGCAAATCTGTCAGTGTCAGTTTCTCCTTTTTCTAGCCTTAAGCTCAGTTTTTCACATTTCCATGCCACTTTGTGATTTTTTAAAAAGTCCTTATGAAAATTCACCAGCATCTTAGTGCAAATTTCTTCTAATATCGTATATGTATTTTTGTATACAATGTTGAATCATACACCCATTTTTTTAAAAGCCTCTTTCCCCACATCCAATGCATTTGTGTTATGTTATCTTCACCAATATATGCATTTTTAGGTATACTTCAACCTACTATCTGCACTTCCTACACACTACTTGAAAATTTCAAAGAAGTGCTTATTTTGAAGCATTTCAGTCCAGGCATTATTTTGTGAAAGTGTGAATTACAAAGTTCACCTTAGATACAAAGTATAAATAGAAGATAATAAAAATTCAGTGCCATGCAAAACCTGCTTTAATCTCCCAGGCTTTTTAAAGTATAAATTGTTTAAGCCTATTTTTTACTATTGATTGCTACTGGCAATTTCAGCATATAATTTTCCTAATTTTATTTTATTGTGCTTTATGTCACAATATGCCCTGGAAACTACAGTATACAAATGTTAAAAAATCAAGAAACGTAACTTTAAGTGCAGGGAACTGTTATCAGTGAGAACATGAGTGTCTATTTAATAAGTTTTAGCCTCAATGGCTCTTGAATAATTTATTCATCTACATATATTATGTCCCCCATATACTCAGCTTGTTTCTACCAGCTGAATACAGAGCCTATTCCCACCGCCCTCCCAGCCCATTAATAATATCAGAGCTTGGAATTAACTAGTTTTGTTTAACAATGTTCACTGAATTAGTTCAAAAACATATGAACTACACCTGAAAGTGGTTCCCATTATTGCTGGGTGAACTGTATGTGAATTAAGTTTGTTTTGGGAAAGAACTTCAGATGTTTTCTAGATCACTTTCTACATAATTCTCTTATCCATTTTTAAAAAAACTTTTTAGACTCTTGGGGCTGTTAGGCTTAAAAATCGTAATTGTCAGGGAAAATAAACAATTCACATTCCACCCTGCATGTGTTTCAATGTTTTCTTAGTCATCTTAAGTATGTTTTCTACTTCAGCACAACAGTTTGTAGAACAAAATGCAGAACAAAATTTGCAGAGGATCCTTTGGGTAAACTTGAACTGAACTGAAGTATAGTAGTTTGTTTTGCAAAGGGCCAAAAGCAAACTGGAATTAGTTCCTTTTTGGACATGCTGAACTAGAACTAGAACTAGGTTCCTTTTAAAAACATTGTGCCCTTTGGCCCTTAAAACAAAACAAAAGCAACACAGAGAAAAATGACTCATGTCCCCTCCACCCACCCACCCCAAATACAGGGAGGCAGACATAAGAACTGTTAACAGCTATGCTGAGTCTACATGCATAGCAGAATGAGGCAGAAGAATAGACTTGCCACTTGAGACAGCAGACCCAGGGTTGGGGTAAAGACCACATTTTTAAATATTCCCCAAAACTATTTATAACTTGTGGGTGAAATCACAACAGGCAGAGTGCTAGAGAGTCTCTTGCTTAAATGTTAGCTTAGTTTTCTATGTGCAGTGAGTTGTTTTCAACATGGAAGAGTTTTCATGTTAAAAATCTTGAGGTTTTGCCAGCCTCAGGAGTAGTGTGGCAGGCTGGCAGATGAGGGGGGACAGGAGCATGACATGGGACGGGGAGACTGGAGAACAGAGGCTGGGGGGTGGAGAGCCACAGGTACTTCCCCCTCCATGGCTAGGGAAGCAGGATTCCCATCTCTCTTCTTCTCTCCCAGGGAAAGGAGCAGAGCAGAGCAGCAGGGTGGGGGGGGAGGGGCAGGTGTCAACCCACTGCTAGGAGTGGAGGAACTAGAGTCACAAGCAAGGGCACAGCAGGGTCACCCAAGACCCAGCGGTGCTCCTGTTGCTGAACTGACGCCTTCTCCCTGCACATTTGGCAGTCTTGCAAGGCAAGAGGGTGTCATGAGTGAGCATGCCTTACTTGGCAGGTGGGTGGGCCAACCCATTGGGACAACTCTATAGTGTCTGGCTGTTAATCAGGTTGGTGGTTGGGCTAGATGATCGCCAGGGTCCCTTCCAATTCTACAATTCTCAGGTGCTTGAGTGCTGCTATAATTCACAGACATGCTTTTGGTGCTGGGAGCTGGCTTTTCAAGAGGTTCGCTTTAACACATAACCTGCAGATTGTTGGTTACAGTAAATTCCTTCCAAGTCTCTATGGGGTGGCCACATTCACTGCTGGCAAACAGCCCCCAAGGTTAGGCCGCCCCCCCCCCGACATAGCAGATATGGGAGATTCGTACCAGAGAGCCTGTTGCTGCTGCTGCTCAGACTGTTCTGGGGTAGATGAGCAACTGAAGGCCAGCTTCCTAACTTGTCTAACCCTTTATAGAATAATAAATTGGTGGCTTTTTTACCAAAGAAAACCACCTCTCCATACTCATTATACTTTAAAAAAAAAGGAAGGGGGACCATGTTAAGTGTGCCATGTTAACACATAGCACAACAGCTAAGCCATATTGCGCCTACCCTATAGGAAGCAACTTGCTCATTGTTGCTGTAAGGAAAAATAACTTCTGAGGTTTGGCAGTTCCCGTACTTTGGCAAGTTCCTTTAGAAAAATAGTGACATGGTGGAAGCTTTCCCTTGGAAACCAGCCCCAAGAAAAAGATTGCAGTGCTATCCTTGCTCTAATTACCCTGGCTTTTGCTGCAACACTTCACGGTGACCTTAATCTGAGCTTGCAACGTGTGCCCTCTTCCAAAGGAAACAGCAGTCCTCCAATGACAACCCCCATGCATGAAAACAGCCTCTCAGGCAGACCTCTTTTCAGCTGCAAAACTGTACATCTTCCTTCCCAGTGATCTGAAAGAGTGGCTAGATTCTTTAAAGTGAGAACAAGGTGATTTGGTTCTGGAATGCAGGTTACTTTGCAGACAAAACAAAGAATCTTGAAGAACTGAACCCACCTGTGTGCACGATCTCTCTGTAACAGGTATACAGACTTAGGCATCTTGCATTGATGTTATGCCAAAGGCTTGAAACCAAACCATCTGAAAAGTTTTTCTTTTTTTTTTCTTTTTAAAAAAGAAAGCTTCTACATCTGATGTGTTGCCTTTAATATACAGGGGTGGCACATCAAAGGCTGTAGTTTAGGAAAGCTGTGAAAGCTGCCATACAGGCATCCTTCCCTCTGGTGTGCAGACGCTGTGCCCACAATCCTCTCTGATCAAGCAGGTCTTAAGCACAATGAAACACCCACAAAACCATGTGTAGGAGAGATTACAGTGAATTGAGTGTCTAGAGCACAGGCAATAATGCCTCTGTCATAGTGGGGAGGAATGCGCATCCAGCCACAGATTTCCTTTGAAATCCGGGGGGGGCAGGGGGGGAGATCAAAACACCATTTTCACATCCAACAAGAAAAGGTAACAACTGCTGGTTAAATTGGAGTTTGACTAAAGCACAATTACAGATCCATTTCCGGAGACGTTTTGTCAACAGCAGACAAGATCTTTTTTAAAAAGAAAATGGCAAAAGAGCACATGGTTTCCAATTTAACCAGCTTTGGACAAGAGAGATCGTGGATAGTCAATCTCAGGCCAGAAATAAAGACAGAGACAATGTGCAAGGAGTACTGGAGCAGGGGGAACTGGCTTCAACTCTTTGCTCAGTAGTGGGTGTTCTTGAGCTGGTCACTTATCTTTTAAGCCTCTTAGTTTATTTGGATTATTGCAAGGATAACATGGTGGTGATGTTAGATAGTATGCAAATGTTTATTATTATCATCATATCCTTGCAATAACCCAAAGTCAGTAAGAGAGGCTAAAAGGTTCAGTGCACTTTCCATGCGTTCTCTGGTTGTCATCCTTACAAGATTCTACACTAGCCTTATCCCCATATTACAGAGTCTGGGGCAGGGCTGAGAGAGAGGGACAGCTTGCCATGAACTCTCTAGAGGAGGGATGGGGAACCTGAGGCCCTCAAACTTTTGTTGAACTACAACTCCCACCATCCCTCACTAGTGTCACCTGGATGGGGCTAGTGGGAGCTCTCAAGGTTGTAAAAAACAACGCAAAGCAGGGCCTGCAAAGGGCTCGTGCCCCCCAGGGGCAGCAAAACTGTGGACTCTTGGACTACTGATACTGCCCACTCAATTACTAAGTCACATTTCCTTCCTCATACATTCCGTACTGACCCCTCACCCATGTGCTTCCCATGTATTGTTCTTATCCTTCCCATTTGTTTCTTAGTTGAAATATATTCTCCCAAAAAGTTCAAATTCACACAACACACATGCCAATTAGGTCAGTTGCTAAAGCATGAGACTCTTAATCTCAAGGTTGTGGGTTCGAACTCCACATTGGGCAAAAGATCTGTGGTCCCTCTAAACTCCATTATTCTATGGTTCCAGTTAGCTACAAAGAAAATTAAAATGTTTGCATACATTTGGAGAATGAAGCTGGAGATATTTTGGTACAGAATTTGGATTAGGGTGAGAGTTCAAGCATACACAAAGTTCTAATCTCTGTGTGGTTGCATAACTATAATGCAGTACACTTTACATTTCACCCACCACTAGGACACTATTTAAATTTGCAGTTTCTTTAATCTCTCTCTCACGTCCAACAGAACTGCCTTCTCTACAAATTGCCCACTTTTAAACAATTGAGACTTTAGATTTCCTTTCTCTTCATTCATCTTGATTACATTCCCGCTTGGTGCCGGAGCATGAAAATTACAAGCCACTTCTAGAAAGGAACAAGCTGTTCAATATTAACTCTTCCAGCCCTCTGAGCAGCAATATTTTAGATACAGACACATTAGGGACACATACAATAAAACCTCTACTTCTTGCATGTTGTACAGATTAGAGGGAGAAGCAGGACCTGGTTCTGAAAGCAGCAGAAAAACAGTACTGATCCCAATGATCTAGGATTTGAGGCTAGGCATGGAAAGTAATTATTCCTTTAGAGTAAATTGCTATGAGAACTACAGAATAGAGCCGTTTACAATGCATTTGAAACTCAAATCCTCTCAAAATTATTGCCTATTGGCAGGGCTGTGCATGAATGTATGCCATTTTGTTGTGGTGGGCAAATAATTCAGCATTCTTGGAATCTGCTTTTTGTTTTGATTTTTTAAACGGGGTTTAAAAGGGTCCAGGCACTGACACCTTACGAGTCTCACAAGGCAGAATCCTGGCTGAATCGGATTTCTAGTATTTGGCAACAGGACTTCAGTATCCTTTCTCCTCCCACGAGTAGCAAAAAAGTAACTATTACACACACAGAGAGACTGCAGAATTGTGTGAATTTGCTTAATTGGGTCACATAATTCAACTCCCCACCTGAAAGTAGAATTTGGATTGCCGAGGCACAGAATTGTGGTTTGTTTTTAAGGACAGTGCACAAAAGGATAGCTTTGTGTGTTTATGTACTAGCCCAGCAGCAACAGGCAACCAGGGTTTCCATGCAGGTGAATGAGGGGGGCTGCAGAGGTTTATTGCTTCAATGAGAATTCACTGGGCTTCCTTGGTTCCAAACTGGCATTGCTGGTCAACCTCGCAGCAAGCCTAATGAAATTGCTAAAAAGATTGGGTACCTATTATTTTCCATTTATCCAAACTAGGCTGGGATAGTGCTCCAGGGGAGGACTAAAGCTGCCACAGAGCACTAAAAAGGCAGGCATAGAGGCAAATGAGATGTGACCTTTGACATATTTTTGACATTGCAAATCTTATTCTTATTTCACAGTGGCCAGTGCGGGGGGGGGGGGGGGAGCTGGACTGAGACTGTGGTATGGGTGGGGGTTAACCCTTTGCTCTTGCCACCATCCCAATCAAAAACTACACCCACCCACCCACCCCGCTCCAAGCTTACTATTTGCAATGGAAGGAATTTATGCTTTCCTTCCACTGCAAACAGCAGGTTGCAAGAGAGGAGACACAATGCCAATCAGGTCAACAAGAGCAGGAGCAAAGGGTTAACAAAATCTCTCGTCCCCCTATGACCCCATTTCAGTTCAGAGGTCCCCACTTCAGCTATCTGCGAAAGAGAAGCTATGCAAAGCTGAACTACGGACCACACATCACATTTAGTTCAGCTCTAGAAACCAGGAATGCTGTCAGCTTTCTAACTCTTTTCAGCACACCTAAACCCAGACATTTCTGTGATTCACAGAAAGACTCAACATTCCTATAGCTGGCATTTCCACAATTTTTAGGCACCATTTTTTCCTTTAGTTTTGTACAAAAAAACAATCTACATCTGTAATGAGGATCACTGTCCAAAAGTAGCAAAGGAAAAAGCACACCTTATGACATTAAAGTGTAAATAGCAGCTCCAGCTAGAGGCAACAGAGAAGATCTCATTACGAGACAAGAAAAGGTTTAGATGCATCATGGAATCCAATAGGCTGATTGTTCAAAGGGCTGCGTTCTCCAAGCCCTGTCCATTATATCCACATGGACAGTCTGCTTCAAATAAACAAAACCATGAAGGGAGAATAATATGCAAAGTAAAGCATGTTAAACAACAATAGAGAGGAACTGAAGACTTTCCTCCCCTTTATTACATCATTGGTTATTTTAAAGATTTATTACCTTTCCTCCCTCTCTTAACTGTTTTTCTAACAAATGATTATGGCATTAAAATTATTCAATGCAACTCCCATTTGCCATCTGCCTTCAGAAAAAGTGTCTTGCAGGGAATTGGCAAAGTATTGATTCTAGCACAGCACACTGAGGAGACAAGGCCAGCTGTTTCTCCCACCTGCAATTTAGGCAGATCTCTTCCTTGAAAAAAACATTTTGCTTTTCCTGACCTGAATCACAGCTCACTCAGCAGCAAACACCATCCAGACCGTTGTGCTTTTGAGTGTACACTCAGTCTTGGAATAGGCTGCAAGTTTACCAACAGCCACTACTGACCCACAGTTTCTCATTATATAAATGGTTCCCACCACCTGTGTGCTTCATGCAGTGCACTGACACACAAGCAAAGTGCCACTTTTTCCTTTTGCAGTTAATGTGGCTAGAAAATAACTTCCATCCAGAAAAAGTGCAGGCCTGTCTCATAGCGCTGCTTCCAATGCTAGTCCTACATCCAGAGAGTAAACCCAGTGAAGTTAAAGGACATGACTAACTCTGGTTAATTCACTTCAATGGCTCTACTCAGAATATAATTTACTTTGTAAAAGGTGTTCTGCAGAGGGCAAGAACTGCATTTCCCCCCAGAAGGATAAAAGCCATCTCAATAGGCTAACTGGCACTTGCCCACTTGCTTTTCCATCCTGCATTCCATCAACATTTTTTTGTGTTAAAAGGAAACAGCAACTCTCCCCAAGAAATACATCCGATGCAGAGATATCAATCCAAAGCTCTGCCATTTTTAAAGGTCTTCCAACATACATGATTGAATAGCCTCCCAGAAGATATGAAGCCATAATCTGTAAATTTCTGGCTAAAAAGCTCACCCTAAATCTCTCAGAAGTATTAAAGGGAGCATTCCACCAAAGCAGAAGATAAATGTTACTTGCTCTTCCTACAGATAAACTGAAAAGTACTTTCTTAAACATCAAAAGATTATAATCGTCAAGCAGCAACAAAAAGCCCTAAACCCCTACATTTTAGAATCCTTTGCAGGTCCCATTTAAGGCTACACTACTATTGTTGAAAAAGGGTTACGTGGCATTTTGTGCTTGTAGATACTACCCCCTTGTGGAAACAGCAACAAAAAGTCTCCTACAATAAAACTGTCACACATCTATGTTGTCCACATCGTGCAAACACAGATAAGGAAGAACAGAAAGACCATCAACATGTGTGTGTGTGTGTGTGCCTGTTGCCCAGCGAGAGCTACCGGAGTCAGTATCTTTCTCATGTGCAGCAAGTGTTTTGCACAGACACACAGAACAGCTGGATGCCAGGAATGCTGTGATCCTATTGCATTTCTGATTCTCCCCAAAGCTGGCACAACTAGGTTCAGTTTCACGTAGTGGAAAGAGGGCCTTCAGAGTGTCGTGTGACAAGTTAAAATCTCAGCAGGAGTGTCAACTTGCCAGGGAAGGGCAACCATGACTGGCAACACAGGTGAACATGTCAACCGGAGACACTGTAGTTTGGCACTGAAAAGACAACAGCAACAGCAGTTGGGATCTGTTTGAAAGATGATGGATTGTCATGGCAGGTACATCCTGTCTCTTACAAAAGTGCCATCTAGCAAGGAGGGGACATAAGCCCACACTCCACAAGTTACTTTTGTAGTTACGATCACCAAAATTTTAGACATCATCATAGCACAAAGGTGGTATTGAGTCATTAGAGATGCAGTTCCAGAGCTCCTTTGGGCTCAGAGGCCTTTGAGTCAGTCTTTAGTGCCAATCCTGTAAATGATGCAAAAAGGAAGAAGGTCAAACACACTTGCAACTGCGGTAGAAGCAAATTTAAGTATGCATAATGACATGCCTACACTCAATTAAAATTTACATTGTTAAGCTTGTGGGGAAGAGGCCTGTCTTTTTTATTATTTTGTAAAGCACCATTTCCACTGACAATTACATAAATAACAAAGTATATGCATACCCCCAACAGTTCTTGCTCCTTAGTTGGATATATGAGAGATTTTCAAAGCTAGAAAGCAGGAAGGTCTGCCCCTATGGATCTATGGCAATAGGCCATGTCTACTACACACCCAGGGAATGCCTGGCCTACCAGCCTTCATGCACCTTTGCATCCAAGCTCAGATTTAAATCCTAAGAAGGGCAACAGAGAAGCAGCCATTTTTATTCTCAGAGGGTAAATGAGATGACTGTGCAGCACAAGGAGCTATAGGAGTTGGAGGGACACTACCAGGGCAGCTAGAGAGAGGTGTGGAACTGAACAAAATTCAGGTCCTTTTAATTATCCTCTAGAAAAAGAATTCTGTACTGGCATGCAACCGACTTAGCTAAGAAGTCCAGAGTAGCACACTTGGGAAGAAAGAGAGCATAACCCTGCAGGGAGCCTGCTAATGGGATCTCTGCATGTTTTGGCCTCGTTTGCATGTCACAATACAGTGCTACCTCGGGTTAAGTACTTAATTCGTTCCGGAGGTCTGTTCTTAACCTGAAACTGTTCTTAACCTGAAGCACCACTTTAGCTAATGTGGCCTCCCGCTGCTGCCGCGCCGCCGGAGCACAACTTCTGTTCTCATCCTGAAGCAAGGTTCTTAACCTGAAGCATTATTTCTGGGTTAGTGGAGCCTGTAACCTGAAGCATATGTAACCTGAGGTACCACTGTAGCTTACGGCAAACATGCTGACTGTGCCACCTTTGCTTTTCCCCACTAGGCCGAAGGGAAAGCAAACGACAATCCCTGGTTGTGCATCATGTCCAAACCAGGGCCTGTGGTTTGTTTTGCTCAAACAAATGACTTTCAGTAAGCCAAGAATAAATCATGGCTACAGATTGTGGTTTGTTAGCAAAACCAACCACAACCTCCAGTTCGGACATAATGCAAAGCCAGAAATTGTGGAGTCTTTCTTCCATGCATTAATGAATGGAATTAATGCTTTAATTGAGAAGCCCAGTAGCACATTCATGGTAGTCAATTAGCTATAGTAAACTGGGTCTTTAAGAGGCAACATTAGACTCTGGAAAACAATACAACAGAAACATACCTCCAACTGAATGCGTGAGCTTTTCCAACTCTGCTTCAAGCTCAGCATCTGAGATGCTAGGAAGCACTACGGACGAAGGAAACAGTGGCTTCTGTGGAACGGAAGGCAGGTCCAGAAGATCTTTTGAGGAGTCCAGGAGAAGAGTGTCCAGCTCCTTTTCCAGTTCCTCGGCATCAGCTTCTGATACTGGAGAACAAATACATTCCAGTGTGACATACAGCTTGGGCTCCTGGTGAATTTACTCAGAATCAAGTCCCACAGAGTTCAACAGCGCCTACTAACTGCACATAGGATTAGAAGACATGCTCAACAAGAGAGATCAGCTCCAGGACACATAGCTGTAAGATGTACTATAACCTTCTTAAGATCTGTAAGAAGGGCAAGAGCTTGAAGAAGGTTCTCTTATTCTGCTCAGTCCTACTGAGAATGCGCTCTTGTTGTTTTTCCTAACAAAAAAATCGTCAAATAGTGGCAATATATTACAGTTGGGAATGGGACCCACCTCACTCATGTCAGCCTCAAGCAAGTATCTGGTGGGTGGCAAGTTGGGTAAGGGATGCTTCCCGACCTCCAAGCCTCAGCTACTGTGGCGGCTCAGCTCCTTTCTCGAAGTTTTCTTTCTGCTCGCAAAACTGATCCTCGCCACCACTATGGCGAAAGGACAAAGCCCTCAAGGCTTCCTTCTGTGTGTGCAGGGGGCAGGAAATGTGTCTGTGCGCAACACATGCACTGGACCCTTGGAATTTTTGTTCACTTTTTTCTCCCATTCAAGCCCAGGTCTGCTGCACCAGCGCAAGCTACAAGTGGGTCACCTCAACTCACTGTCAGGCAGCACCAGGCTGGCTGCGAGCACCTTGTTGGGGGAGGCAGGCGGGCAGCAAGACTCGGGGTGGCGGCGGCACCCCAGCCCGAGGAGGCATGGATGCATGTCCTGCCGCTGCTCCATGGCTCTGCTTGGCAACAGCAGCAGTGCTGCATGAAGACGCTTTGATGGTCAAGTGGCAGCCAGCACCTCCGTCCTGCCTGCTGCCAGCTTCCTCCGCCCATTGTCCTGAGCCTTGGCAGAGACACTCCCACTCGCTTCAGCAAATTCCAGTGAGGATAGGGCTGCCCAGCCCACTCAAAGACAGCCCTGGTGGCCCGGCACTCCGCTGCCACGTGCCGCTCATTGAAACCAAATCCACCGTCACCACCTTTTCTCCAAGTGTGGGGCTCTCCTCAGGTGCACGAAAAGGAAGGAGCCACAGCGCTTGTGCAGAGTGCATGCCGACAAGGGAAAGGTTTGCACCACTGGAGTGCTTCTCCCATCTGAAGGGTTACTCTGTGCTCACCATAACCTGTGATGTCAGCAGTTGGTCCTAGATGCCCCATATCCCTCAAGTGCAGAGTAGGGACAGACTCTTGCATGGGGGGGCTCCCCAAACTTTTCCCTCAATCCTGAGATGTAGGATTGCTTCTCCTCACAGGTTAGGGGGCGCAATACTTGCCTTGCCTAGGGCACTGGCAACCCATGCTAGGCCACTGTCCTCCAGATATTTTGGACTACAATTCCCATCATGCTGACCAGCACCACCATTTGAGGAAGATTCTGTTCAAATGTCTGAATATGAGGTTGTAAGCTAGAAAACCTAACAACAAGGGTTTGGAGGCTTAAGAGTTTGGACTCACCTAAGCCATTGATTCCAACTCCTGCTAAGGTTTGCGCTACTTCATCCTGGGTGTCACAAAGCTGAAAAAAGCAGCAGATATTGCCATTTATTACACTTTTAATCCACCTTCCAAGGAGCTCAGTTGGCACACATCAAATCCTTCATTTTAATCCCACAATGATCCTGCAGGGCAGGCTAAGATAGACCATAGTGATTTGTCCACAGCAATTTAGCAAGCTTCATGGGTGAGCAAGTATTTGGATCTCCCTAGCTGAGTACAACACTCTAGTTCAGGGTTAGGGAACATTTTTCAAGCCTGAAGGACGCATCCCCTCATGGGCAACCTTCCAATGACTGCAGTCTAGTCACAAACAGTTCAGAGGGTTCTACACTTACATCTCTCCATTATTGCAGTACAAGGACAGATTCCAAAATAACTGCAGGGTGATGTGCAGCAGAGCCAGTGGGGGTGTTGATCGAGGAGAGTCTGAAGGGCCAGACAGAGGACTGGAGGGAGATCACTGGGCCCTGCTCTAACCACTACACCACCCTGGCATCTGAAATAAAGCCTGCTAAGAGGGGTTAAGCAAAGGCAGATATGGAAGCCACTTAACAGAAAGCTAAGAAGCAACCTGCAGCTCGAATGTGATTCTCATTTAACTAACACTTGCATAGAGATTATTTGTTTTTCCTCTTTATAGTACCTCTTGAATCTGATCCACCAGGTTCTCTGCCTTTTCCACGGTGACATCTTTCATGGATAACTTCAGAGCTCCAACTCCAGCCTGGTAAGCATTAAATACCTTATTGGGAGGAAAGAGAATAGCTTGTTATTTTACAAGTATTTTCAGTAATCTGTTGCAGTTCTTCACCTTTTTAAATAGCCTATTTATTTATTTATTTATTTGTAAGTAAGTCTGTGGTTAGGGAGTGTCTTGTTTTAATTTCATGTTAGCTGCTCAGGGAGTCTTTTGGGCTGAAGAGCAGGATATAAATGCTCTAAATAAATAATAAATATTACTGATTCTGGCAGACACTCCACCTCAATATTGCCTATATGATTTTAAAAATGATTTCAGTTGGATTTACTTTGTCAGGAGGCCGCTTGAGGCCTGAGGGAAAAGTAGATGAGGGAGTTAAGGTTGTAATCTCAACTGAAATATTTTGGAAGCCATATGCCCTTGGGACAGTGAACTTTTGCAGAGGAGCCATTTTCAGGACCTCTTCCTTGCTTTCTTCAACGTTTTTCTGAAAGACTCAGGAGTTTCAATGCACCCAGTTCTTTCTTCTTCAGGATTCTCCACCAAGCTTGCTCCCTATCCTGTCTTCCACAGGTACTTTCACTACAAATCGTAGCCTCCACATCTGCTTCTTTTTCCTATCTTCACATGTGTCCGTATTTCAGAAGCCACTCACTGGTCCTCCCTGCCGCAGGCCTGATTAGGCCTAGACTGAGGCTTAGTATGCAAAGTGAGCCCAGTGAGAGAGCAGGTTAGCATGCCTTCCTAAGCTGTGCTTTATAAACACAATTCCATTTCCTTTTACGCTTTGCATGCTTTTGATTGGTTAGAATTAATCAGCTAATTCTCCCAGATCAAGGAAATGTTTATCATTACTGAGCAATTCCTCACTGATGTTGTGTATGTACATCAATAAATATCCTACCCTATAAATTAAATACTATGTGAGTTTAAGTTACTGGGTAAATCTGCCAAGAGGTACTACTGCCAATGTCTAAAGCTTATAATTCATAAAGCTTCTAGAATGAAACACATGTCTACTGAGGCATCTCGCTAACAGCAGTGACACACAACAACAGGCAAATGGGGATCAACCGGCCAGAGATGTGCCAAAGCCAATGCATGCTCTGTGTCAGGAAGAGAAGCAGAGAGATAGAAAGGAAGAAATATCTGAGTTCAGGAAAGACCATGTGATGCCTTCTAGATGCTGCTAGAGTACAGTTCCCATCAAGCCTGACTATCTGTCATGCTGACTTGGACTGTAATACCTGGACAGTACCACACTGGCTACCTCCATTATAGCTTCAAGGGGTAAGAAGTGTGTGAACAAGCCCCAGACTGACAAATCAGTCAACACTGCAGTGGAAAGAATGTGTATTTCCAACATAAAGCAGATCTTCAAGCAGAAATCTTAGACAGAAGAATTAAACAGAGCAAAGCGGAGTCAATGGCGACACATCAGTAAAGGAATACCATCTGATCTGTCTGAGAGGCGTAGATCCGGTCCAGGATGCCTTGTACTACGTCCAGCTTGGAGTGAAGTTCTGCAATACGTCTTTCTGTTCTTCGTTTTGATTTCAAAGACCTAAGTGCCTAAGAACATAAAGGCACAGTTTTGATTAACCATCAAGAGCAGCCTGAAATAACTCCCTATTTAAAACAGTCATCTCAGTGCAGGAGGACATGCACAGTGGTTGTCTTCTCCTCAAAGCTTATCCAGCTAAGCGAATGAATGTCCTTAAGACTGCATTTATCTGCTGGCTGCTGGGAGAGAGGTAGAAGTAATTGCCCCTGTTGCTGTTTTTTTTTAAGGTAAATGTGCATTTCGGTGCTGGAGAGTGAAATGCACAGCATTTAACAAGTTACAGAGAAAAGTCCTGAAACTGTCAGCTTCTGCTATAGATGCAGGGGAAAGTACCTTGTTGGTACAATTTACTTTGTGTGTATGTTTCTTCTGAAGTGCCTAAGTGGTACAAGTAAGGCAGCATTGTTTCTCAAAGCAAAAAAAAGGAAGAGGGTTTTGTTTATTTCAACACCATCATTGAATGGTAACAATTATTCTTGTCACCAAAAATATTCAACAGGTAAAGTAATAGTTCTATTAGCTAAAGAAAGAAGAGACTGTGCTCTGAACACCCAAGAAAGCACAACATTTTTATAAACGAAGCAGTACCTTGAGAGAAGACACATTAGACCCCATACTACAAAATGAGATAATGTATGCCCATGAACAGCCACATGACAAGGTTCTTGTGCTGCAGTGAGATGCCCTTTGACCTCAACAAAAGGCTTGACAAGTGCTAAACCAGGGGTCAGCGAACGTTTTCAGCAGGGGGCCAGTCCACTGTCCCTCAGACCTTGTTGGGGGCCGGACTATATTTTGAGGGGCGGAAATGAACGAATTCCTATGCCCCCCACAAATAACCCAGAGATGCATTTTAAATAAAAGCACACATTCTATTCAAGTAAAAACATGCTGATTCCTAGACCGTCCGCAGGCCGGATTTAGAAGGCAATTGGGTCGGATCTGGCCCCCAGGCCTTAGTTTGCCTACCCATGTGCTAACCTCACGAAAACACATGACCTTTGAAGCAGGTTGGCTTTGGACGTACACATCCCACAAAACTTTTGGTTGCCTAGTTGCGAAAACACAGGACTTACCAGCTGCTTTTTCCCAGCTCTACATGCACTCCGGGCCTCCTCTTTACATCTAGAAAAGCAAAGTGTAAGCAGCTCAGTTTCTTATTTATTACATATTAGGTGGTCATTCTTAGACTGATGGGAGATTGTAGCCCCCCACATGTGGTGCATCTCAGTATCACTACTGAAGCAACTGTAGATCTGCTCCGCTCATATTTTTTGTACCCTTTTATAAAGAAGCTTTATAAAAACAAGGTCATGATTTACCAAATGCCTTAACTGTAGTTCAGCAGTGAAGACGCCCCTTGCCTGAACATGCACAAGTTCCTGGATGCAGAGACTGCCAAAGGGGGAGATGAATAGAACCCAATATGGCTAAGGCAACGCTAAATGCCTCATCTATTGTTGGTGTCATGCAGCAGCTGCTGGATGAACAGCTGACAAAATTAAGAGCTGAGATGCATTGAACATTCAAAGAGATTGGATCAGAGATGCATCAGACTAAAGAACGCCCAGGACCTGTGGAAAAAGAGATGGATCCTCTTCTGATGGAATATGAGAAGGTAAAGGCAAAATGGATAACAGCAGATGATGAATTGAAAGATGTTATTGTGATGCCGGAAGAAATGAATGGATTTATGAAGATGGACATTAAGAGAGAACCAAAGATGGCAGAGATGGAACTGAGAGAGAAAGGGCCATGTGCACAAATTGAAGTGAATAAAGCTCTTGACAATTGGTTTCAATGGAAAATGGAAAAAGTAGAAGGATTTTTCCTTTTTCCTTTAAGTTAAGAGTAAGCATGGTCAACAGGAAATGGGACTGAAATATATGGAACTGAGTACAGTCATACCTTGGGTTGAATGTGCTTCGGGATGAGCGCGTTCGAGTTGCACTCTGAGGCAACCCAGAAGTAACGGAGCACGTTACTTCCAGGTTTCGCCGCTTGCGCATGCGCAGATGCAGAAGCGGCGAAACGTGACCCGGGCACGCACAGACACAGGTTACGTTTGCTTCTAGATGCGAACGGGACTCCGGAACGGATCCCGTTTGCATCTAGAGGTACTACTGTACAAAGTAATGAAGACACAACAAGCAAATAAATATGGACTATTACGCTTTTGAGATTTCTCAGAACAGTTGGGGAGAAATTCATCATATTGGATTGGAGGACTATTTAAGACTTTTAATTATAATAATTGAAGAGCTACTTTTTGACTTTTGAGTAGGAAAAGGTGAATTTGAGATGAACGGGATGGAAGATTGAGAAAACAACACCTAGCAGATTGAGAAACAGCTGTATAATAGTTAGATTGTTATCCTGGAGTGCATATAACTGTCATATACACAATTGCCCTTCTTTTTCTTTTCTTTTATTTCTATCATCTCCAATTCTTGTTTTTCTTTGGTTAATTCTATCTACATTTATGCTTTGCTTTTTGAAGTTCCCTATTTTGGATTAATGAAGATACACACAGGAAGGTGGTGGGCAGAAGATGGGGGGCCCTGCGTGAAGAGCAGGGTAGAGAGGCTCTCCCATGGTGGGAGGCTGGGGAAAGAAGGGGAAGCACGCAGGTGAGAGCTGGGAGGGTTCACTCTTCTGTGTGTGGATAAAGGGTTAAGATATAATTCTGATAAAGGGCTTTGTATTCATTTTCTCTTTTTTCCTTCTCTTTCTTCTTCTTTATATTCTTATTCTTCCTTTTTTCTTATCTCTTTTCTCTGGATTAGTTTGGCTTTTATTGTATTTTATGTGGAAAACTTTTAATAAAAAATTGATTAAAAGATGCCCCTTGCCTGAAGGACCACAGCTCAACAACGCATGAGTTGTGACATAACTGACAGCTTTAAGGATGTAAAGGACACACACCCATATTACCTCTCTGCTTCTTGTGCCAGGGACTCCACTTTCTGAGACAGCAGCTGTTCACTTTGCATGAGCTGATAAACCCCAATGTCAACATCATTCACTGGAGATACTTTGGTATGAAGACCTCGAGCAAATTTCATTATCTGAAAGAAAATTTCGTTATGAAATAAGATCTCATCCCATCATCTTAAGGTCCAATTGTCTCTTATTTCCCAGGGAGACTTTCTGCTTTCCAGTATACGTCCCTATTTTTGTATTTTAGAGATACTTTATTAGAGTTGCTGGACTTCTTCAGGTTTCAACATCTTTTTCCCTGGTTGACAGAAATTAAAATTTGAGCTGCGAGGTGGATGCATCTTATCTCTAATGCTCAACATTCCACACACACCCTATTTGAATATGTTGCTAACAAACTGTAGGTCAGCAAACTTTTTCAGCAGGTGGCCAGTCCACTGTCCCTCAGACCTTGTGGGGAGCTGGACTATATTTTGAAAGGGGGAAAAATCAACAAATTCCTATGCCCCACAAATAACCTGAGATACATTTTAAATAAAAGCACACATTCTACTCATATAAAAACATGCTGATTCCCAGACCGTCCACGGGCGATTGGGCCGGATCCAGCCCTCGTGCCTTAGTTTGCCTACCCATGTTATGAGGCAACATGTGTTTTTTCTAGCCTATATTTAACCAAAAGAAGAAACATCCTCTTGTTATCTAAAGAGGGAAGTCTACTGAAGAGTAAGTGATGAATACAGCCATCAGAGAAGACATTTCAGCAACATAGATTTGGGGAGTCAATGATTTTTGCACCAACGCTGTTATAAGCATGTCTCTATCTTCATTTGTGAAACACTGAATATCTTGCATTAACCAAGTTCTGTAAAATTATGAACCACATTTTAAAGTCTATACAGTATCCCTCCTCAATCAGCTATCTTGTACTTTCAGGGCAGTACAAGATATTGCCTGAAGTACAATTAGAAGAAAATAGCAGACCTTCATGGCATTTCTGCAATCCAGAGCTCACCAAGCCTTTTCAACTATTATGTTCACTCCATACGTCATAGCCAAAAAAGTTCAAATTCCAACAACCTCAGAATTATTTGGAGGAGGTGGGATGACAGTATATTATAGATGAGGATATGACCAACCCTTCTCCTGCCCAGAAGCCCATGTTTCCCCTTTTAATTATGAAATGACAAATTCAGCTTAATGCTGCCTTATCTCACTTAAATGCTGCAGATATCTTCATTGCCACTTTGGGTTTTCATTTTAGAGGGGGAAACCTTTTGCTGAATGAGTGAGCGCAAGGCAAATGGAAGACTGGCTTTATTTGGCCCAACTTATTTCCATTTAGAGACGGCACAACTCCCAGAAATGCAACTCACATTTTAACTCTTTATTAGGGTTGCCATATATCCTCTTTTTCCAGGACATGTATTCCTTTTCATGGGTATGTAAAATAAGTCTCATCATAGCGATCCATAGTTAAAAGTAGAAGTCGGCAAATGTGTCCTCTTTCTTGCTCTTCAAAATATGAAAACCCTACCTTATTGCCGTTTTGCTCCAGCACTGTGACCCTTTTTTCCTTCTGCAGCTGCAGCAGCACCAGACAGAACGTCCTTTCGTCTGAACAAATGCTAGTGCACAGGGAACGCAGCTCTGACAGGCCAACCACAGGGTGTGAAGAAAGTGTGGAATTCTGGTAGAGATGATACACTTCTTCTGCCTTTTCCTAAAGAAAATAACCATTTGCACTGAACTCTTTATTCCCTGCCTCTGTTGTGGGTACCATGCACAAACTAAACCAGAATTGCTTAATATCCTAACCTGACTCAGAAATGGCAAGTCCATTTCTACAGATGACATTCAAACCTCACTCACAATACAGTACAGAGCACACCACAGTTTAGATCAGTGGTTTTTACTGTTCAGCTACAGACTAGATTTGAGTATCATTAGATAATCGGTAGCCCACTTGTTTCTGGTCTCTAGCTTGCAGCAAATAAACAGTCAGTATAAGTCAGCACACATGTCTAATTAAGGTATGCAGTTAAAGAACAACTATGGGCAGCACAGGGAAAGACCAGAAGCAAGGCCACTCTGCTAAGCGGCCAGCTCACTTTGGCTCCTTCTTTCTCCAAATTGTTTCCATTCAAACTGGCAATTATAAGAGCCTTTTGACTATAAAAACAAGTGGCTGGGTTCACCCGTTTTACATCTTAGTCCCTTTCCCCTACTATATCATGTCTTTTAGGTTGAAAGCCTGAGAGCAGGGGCTATCTTGTTTACTACTGATCTCAAAAAACAACAACCTGGGGGAGTTTTTTCAGCAGCAGAACAATATAAAAATGCTTTTTAAAAATAGTATTAATCTTCGCTCTGCTACTCCCTAAGACTACCTTCATCTTCAAGGTTTCTGTGTGTGAAGAACAAAGGAGAAACTTTTAAATATTAAAGCAGAGATACAATAACACTTGAGGGTCGTAGTGTGAGAAGGAGAACTACTAATCTGGTGCAGATTGCTCTGCTTCCTCAAATATATAATGGAAAATGTTTATGGAAGTGAGCTGGCCTACAGCTCTTCCTTCCCTTTCTGAAGGATTCCTACTGATTCCCAGTCAGAATATGATCACAAATTGCAATGCAATAATTCTATTCTATTCTCAACTTACATGGGTGAGAAAATAGGCTTCTTTCAAAAATTAGTTACTTGAATATTTAAGCAAGATGATACTGAATAGGAAAGATATATGCTGTTCTTAGTGCAGTGCAGTGCAGAGTTAAAGCAGTAGTGATTGGCTGGGTTACTGTAAATTACACTTGACTGAAGACATCCTGGAATTATGGAAAGTGCCACTCCAAACTATATTTACATGGTTCAAGTTGCACCACAGGGAGCAGATATCTGAACTTAAAACTAAACAAGAAATACATTAAGGTATAAAGATGGAAATCCTTTGCAAGTATGGTAGAGAGCTCTGAAAAAGCATGAGGAGAATTTGCAGTACACATTCATTAAATACCCATGTTCCTGGTAATCCACAACAGCTCTATGAACTGTTGGATATGTCTGCATGAGGGATCCTCTGAGTGATTTCCTGATCATACAGTGGTACTTTGGTTGTCAAACATAATTCATTCCGGAAGACCGTTCAACCTCCAAAACGTTTGACAACGGAGGCGCAAAGGACAGTCTGCAAACTCAATGGAGAAAAAAGGAAAAAACACAGCAGAAGCCGTTCAACTTCTGAGGCGCGTTCAAAAACGGAAGCAATTACTTCCGGATTTTCGGCGTTCAGGTTCTGAAACATTTGGCTTCCAAGACGCTCAAAAACCGAGGTAACACTGTATATCAAAACAACTACAGTGGTACCTCGGGTTACATACGCTTCAGGTTACAGACTCCGCTAACCTAGAAATAGTACCTCGGGTTAAGAACTTTGCTTCAGGATGCAAACAGAAATTGTGCTCCGGTGGCGCGGCAGCAGCAGGAGGCCCCATTAGCTAAAGTGGTGCTTCAGGTTAAGAACAGTTTCAGGTTAAGAACGGACCTCCGGAACAAATTAAGTACTTAATTTGAGGTACCACTGTACAGGTCTCTTCAAATGTTTCCCAAACACTCAACAATATTTTTTATCATTGCATAACAGAAACCCTCAGCTCTCCCCAACATCCTGATGATATGCGATTGCCAAGCATCAGAAAGCCTACCTGAAGTAACTCCACATAGATCAGAATTTCCTCCTCTTCTGGTACTTTGCTGTCACCTAATACACTAGACAGGGTCCACTTCAGTGGCTTCAGAATAAAGACCCCGACGCCCCAGGAGATCCAGCTGCTGTCTACACTGGTCATGAAGTCAGATTCCCTCTGCAACTTGCCACGTCTGAGGGAAGAGCAATATATAAATGCTGTAAGTTTCAGCAAAGCCAAAGGGAATACTTATCTAAATTGACAAAAATCAGCCTTCTGGGACTGCCATGCTACTGCTATCTCGTACTGAAGAAGTATGGGTATGATAAATGCAGAGGATACTGTAAAGCAGTAGTCTTCAAGATGGGCAACCGCAGCACTACCACCATGCAAATATATCATAATAATAAGAAGAAGAAATGGGTCTCCAAGTATGTTTGGATTAAAGGTGGGCTCCAGGTGACTTCTGGTGCCAGATGTAAACAAAGCTCAGAACAGTTTAGGACCAGGATATTATAGCTCCCTAAATATGCCGAGTTTGACCAAACTGTGGGAGGCAGTGGAAGACAGAAGTGCCTGGCGTGCTCTGGTCCATGGGGTCACAAAGAGTCGGACACGACTAAATGACTAAACAACAACAAATATGTCAAGTTTTGTTATGTTTGTTAATTACTTTGTTTTCTTAAAAATATATATATTATAAAATGTTTTGCAATGGCTGGCCCTAAAAGAATGGGAGAGTAAGTAAGTAAATGTTGTGCCACCTTAAAGCCTATAAAAAGGTAAAGGTACCCCTGCCCGTACGGGCCAGTCTTGACAGACTCTAGGGTTGTGCGCCCATCTCACTTAAGAGGCTGGGGGCCAGCGCTGTCCGGAGACACTTCCGGGTCACATGGCCAGCGTGACATCGCTGCTCTGGCGAGCCAGAGCCGCACACGGAAACGCCGTTTACCTTCCCGCTAGTAAGCGGTCCCTATTTATCTACTTGCACTCGGAGGTGCTTTCGAACTGCTAGGTTGGCAGGCGCTGGGACCGAGCAACGGGAGCGCACCCCGCCGCGGGGATTCGAACCGCCGACCTTTCGATCGGCAAGCCCTAGGCGCTGAGGCTTTTACCCACAGCGCCACCCGTGTCCCCCTTAAAGCCTATAGTTGCCCTTAAAATAGTTAGAGGGTTTTGAGAGCTACTGGGGACCCTGTAGGGGGAGCAGAGTTGAGTTATCCACAACCTCTCCTGTCACTTGTTTAGCCAACATGTTATGTGCATTCCCTAATTGATCTAAAGTCCATGAATTTTTTTATGCAAAGGTCACTCAAATGCATACAAGATCAGCACACCAGCCTCCAGAAGAGTAGCAGTGGCAGGAAAACAAGAATGTTAAAGACCGGTAATAATAATAATAATAAGATAATGATGTTAAAGACCAGTAAAATTCTCATGGCCAGAAATCCAGAAATCTTTGCTAATTTTATTCACAACAGCAGAGTTAATTTTATTTATTAACCGCATTCTTTAGGCAAAGGACTCCCTAAGTACCTTAACAGAAGAACAAGCAAGAGAGAGAACTGAATATCAGTATCATTTGACACAGATCTAGTTACAGGTAGGCAGCCGTGTTGGTCTGCCGTAGTCAAAACAAAACGAAGAAGTGTGCATGCACACGAAAGCTCATACCAATAACAAACTTAGTTGGTCTCTAAGGTGCTACTGGAAGGATTTTTTTTTTATTTTTTATTTGACAGAGTTCAGCTGAATGGAGCTGCTAGCTGTCGACATAAATATTTTGGCTGACATTAATATGCAGTCACGCCTTGATGGATGTTTAAATAGAACTGAACTAATAGGTTACTAGATCACATATTATGGTCCTTTTGCCAGCAGGTGAAGCTCTTCTTGTTCCAACAAGCTTTTGGGAACTGACTGCTTTTAATGAAACAGCTGGTGCTGTGCTGTTTTTATTGTACTTATCTGTATATTTTAAGAGCTTAGATAGATACACAGAGAGCTATAGCTATTGATAGTTTTATTCATGTTATTTAATGATTGTGGGATTTCCCCCATGTTGTTTAGCTGTTGTTTTTATCTGCTTGAGTCCCTGTCAAGGGAAAAGTCAGGGTGTAAACAAACAACAACAACAAGAAGTGTTCTCTTGCCCCCTCCTTTCTTCGTCCTCCCCCGAGCCCACCCGAGCCCAGCAGGGCAAGAACTTCCCTCTGCACGCGCTCAGAGGCACAGCTGCAGACTGGAAGGAGGCTAAGCGAGGGGGGGCCGAGGAGAGAGAGAGAGAAAGAGAGAGAGAGAGAGAGAGAGAGAGAGAGAGAGAGAAGCCCCCCCCTTCCCCCCCCGCCGCCGGGCGGTACCTGAGCAGCTCTCGCAGGACGGTGCCCAGGCCCAGGGGGACGCTGCCCCGCCGCTCGAAGGCCTGCTGCAGCTCCCGCAGGCAGGTCCGGACGCCTCCGCGGCGCCGCCCCCACTTCAGCACCAGCTCGCTCCAGAAGAGCATCTTGCTGTCCCACTCGGTGGCGTTGACCTCCCGGCTCTGCTTGAAGGCCGAGAACAGGAAAGCCATGCGCTCTTCGTCCGTCTCCCACTCCGGGGGCAGCTCGCCCTCCGCGGCCGGCGCAACCGGCGCCTCCTCCGGCGAAGACATCTAGGCGAGCCCCCGGCTTCGGGCGCGGCCTACCTCCTCCCGCTTGGCCAGGCGTTTCCTCGTCGGTGGGATGGCGCATGCGCCTTTCCCCCCCCCCGTCCGGCATGCGCACAGGGCGAGGCGCTTGGCGGGAATCCAAAGGCGGAGAAAAGAAAAGGCTAGAGGCGCCCCTCGGGGCGGGCGGCGGGAGCCTCCGGGTTCCCGGGCGAGTCCCCTCCCCACCTGGCAGGCAGGTGGGCGAGGCGTGGCAGCAAATAATAAAGTCCAGCATGTGAGCGGGGAATTCTCCCTCTGAGAGTGAGCGCTGGAAGAAAGCCATTACGGGCCTTTTTCCGGGGGGGGGGAGGAAGCGGGAGGTGTTTTAAAGGGGCGAAAACTGCCCGTCGTCCCTTCGGGTCGCAGATACGAAAAACGTCGAGGCAAAGACAGGTCCGGGCGCAACGTGCACGCGCAAACTGTGTCTGCGCGGATTTCCACGTGGCGCAGCGCCAAGGGGCTGCGCGGCTCACAACAACCCAGCAGTGTCGTCCCGCTAGAGGCAGCGGGGAGGGGAGACCCTTGTCCAATAATAATATTTTTTTAAAAAAACTCATACAACGTTTGCAGGTTACGGCAGAAAGCCCAGCCCCTGCAGAAGCCCCGTTCTCTGGAGCCCTCCAAGCTAAAGACGATGTCATAAATTTATTGATGCCGCCCTTCATCCGAAGATACACAACCCCCCGACACAATTCTAAGACCCGCCTTGTTCTTTGTGATTGCGAATTGTTTTGCACGGTTTTAAATAAGGTGTTTTAATGTTGGGAGCCTGCCCTGTGCTGAGACCTGAGGGTGAAGCGCGGGTAGTAAATGATGAACTGAATCAGCGCGCCCCGGGTTTGATCCTGCACCCACCCACCTGGGAGCAAAGTCCCTTTGGATCCACAGGGTCATTTATTTCTGAGCAATCGTAAAAAAGTAAGACTTTTTAAAAGGGAAATAAGAACTGAGTTAGCCGGAATAATAATCCCTGCCTTTACTGCTACATGTTGTGTATGTGTGGGCGTGTGAACAACACACTCGCGCAGCTATGCTAAAGGCGGATTCCTCCATGGTTTTCTCACTTCCGCCCTGGGAAGCGCCCAAAATAGCTCTCCAAAGTGAACCAGGCAGGCGGGCGGCGCCTGCGCCAGAATAACGCATGACAAGCGCACCGTCAGAGAAGAAAGGTGCAGCTGGAGGTTTCAGAAGTGCGCGCTTCCCTCCCGCCCCGTGTTTAATGGGAGCATCTCAACCTTAGGCTTTCAAGAGGACTAGCGGCATGAGCTTTTGCAGAGACGTGAAATGTGCCCTAATTTTGTAAATTCGTTCATTCTACACACACACACACACACACACACAAATAAATGGAGAAAAATACTTCTGAAACAGTCTAACCTAAGAAGTAGTGTGCATTGCTATACAAAACGCGAAAGTGTACAAGTGGTGATTCACAATTGCACTACATATTTAGTGGTGACAAAACTGTAGCTTTGCCATGCTAATTTTAACAGACCATTAGGAGGGGAAACTACAGTATTGTCTCTCTTGAATTCTAAACCAACAGAATCAAAAAAGTTCCCCAATGTTTCAGGAAAATAAGTTTCAGTAACTACAAACCCTGAAATTTTGGATCCCCTCCAAAACCAGTGCCACAGTTTCGTAGGCTGTATCAATTACTCATTACTAAATGCAGGGTCCCCATTACAACTCCTTGCAAAACAACTACAAAACTTTGGCACTTGTTTGGACGGGACCCAAAATTTCGGGTTTCCTAGTTAATGAAGCTAAAAATACAGGCTCTCTCACAGGCCCAGAGAGGGCTGCCTGTTTTTGAGGCCCGCATAACAAACCCCACTGACAGCTGATGAAAACAGATGGGCCCATGGGATTAGGCGGGGGGGCAGGTGCCCCCTTTAAAGCAAATAAATAAATAAATAATACTTAACTAACCAATTGTATCACTGATAACTCGGTTCTGCAGCCCCTCTAACACAAAGCCTGCCCCACCTAAAATCCTGCCCACGGCCATGCTTGGGCCTCATTTGCCCATGCCTCTTGCTTGCTGAGAGCCAGTTGCACGGTTTCCGTTAGGAGAGTTGTGAGGAGCACAGCCAGCCTGAATCTGAGAGATAAGTTTTTTCTAGCAGCCGGACCCTGGGATGTAAAATTGCTGGTATTCATTGCCTGTAGAGGTTTGAGCGTATAAACTAGAGCTTTCCAAACTGTGTCATGACACATTAGTGTGTCGGCTGCAATGTCTAGGTGTGCCGAATGAACGCTCCCCACACTCCTTGCCAGGGCTGGAAAGGGGTTAGTTTAACCTCTGGTTTGCTAGTAAAAGTGAATTACTGTACTGTGTTGCAAAATGATGCATGTCTAAAAAGTGTGTCACTAACATGAAAAGTTTGGAAAGCTCTGATACAGGCCTTTGGGAAGCTGGAAATTCCAGTCAAGAGAATGACTCAGCTCAGCAATGTCATGGCTGTATATGGCAGGCTGTACCTGAGCAAAGAGCTGAATGGGCATGATAAATAATAAACCTCTGGCTTTAAAAAACAAACAAACTGTTTCTATACTGCCCAGGCCAGTATAGGCACCCTGCCACTGAGCTAATATACATAATTCAAACAGATCACACTAATGACTTAAATTCCTTGCAGAAAGGGAAGCAAAGAAATGAAGGGAACAGAAAGAAACATCAGTTGTGTTATAGAGCTACAATATAGGGCTCCCTTGCAGGATTGTTGGTGATAATGTATTGTAGTGATGAGAGTGCTCCAGATTCAATTTACCGTACTTTTCAGTCTATAAGATGCACCCAACCATAAGACGCACCTAGTTTTTGGAGGAGGAAAACAAGAAAAAAAATATTCTGAATCCCAGAAGCCAAAACAGCAAGAGGGATCGCTGCACAACGATCTCTCTTGCTGATCTGGCTTCAGCGATAGCTGCGCACCCTGCATTCGCTCCATAAGACGCGCACACATTTCCCCTTACTTTTTAGGAGGGAAAAAGTGTGTCTTATAGAGTGAAAAATACGGTACATCTCTGCAGTGAAGCTCATGGGTGACCTTGGACCAGTCACCACATCCAGACATAGTGTGTTTTTATTGTGATGAAAACAAGCCCAGTTTCCCCCTGGGCCGGTGTGTTCTCCCCACACTTGCACTCTCCTCCTGCTGCATGGCCACAAGATAAGATGGGGAGTTTTCACTTCTAATTTGATTAAACGGAGTTCAGTGCTGGATCTGAACCATACACTCTTGTTAATTGTAAACGGTGGTTTGTTGAAAACCAACCAGCTTCGTAAACAATGGTTTTAAGTTGTCTTAATAATAATTATTAATAATTTTATTATTTTTGCCCCAGCCATTCTGGGCAACTTCCAACACATATTAAAACATAATAAAACATTAAACATTAAAAAAAAATCCCTATACTGTACAGAGCTGCCTTCAGATGTTTTCTAAAGGTTGAATACTGTAGATACTTATCTGTTTGACATCTGATGGGAAGGCAGGCGCCACTACTGAGAAGTTTAGTTTTAAACAAGCTATTTGTTGTTTGACAACAACTCGACATATTTGTTGTTGTTTAGTCATTTAGTCGTGTCCGACTCTTCATGACCCCCTGGACCAGAGCACGCCAGGCACTCCTGTCTTCCACTGCCTCCCGCAGTTTGGTCAAACTCATGCTGGTAGCTTCGAAAACACTATCCAACCATCTCGTCCTCTGTCGTCCCCTTCTCCTTGTGCCCTCCATCTTTCCCAACATCAGGGTCTTTTCCAGGGAGTCTTCTCTTCTCATGAGGTGGCCAAAGTCTTGGAGCCTCAGCTTCAGGATCTGTCCTTCCAGTGAGCACTCAGGGCTGATTTCCTTCAGAATGGAGTGGTTTGATCTTCTTGCAGTTCATGGGACTCTCAAGAGTCTCCTCCAGCACCAGAATTCAAAAGCATCAATTCTTCGGCAATCAGCCTTCTTGATGGTCCAGCTCTCACTTCCATACATCACTGCTGGGAAAACCATAGCTTTAACAATACGGACCTTTGTCGGCAAGGTGACAAGCTATAGTAATCATGAAACAGCACCACAAGCTATTCTGTGAGCTCTTCCTTATGGCTGCACTGAAGGAGGAAGAGGAGTGTATGAGCCTGGAGAGAAGCTAGACGCATTCCCATCATAACAAGCAATGGTTTGTCATCATCAGTACACCTACTGAAGACTTTGAAATTCCAGCAGGCATTTTAAATGAATTCCAATTTTATGGTTTAAAATGTTTTTTTTAATTATTGGTTACTTGTACAGTATTTAGAGACTACTCTAATTAAGTGGTATATAATTTGGCCAGATAAATTAATAACTACATAAATGTGCTATCTGAACACAGCCACTATTTCTCAGTCTAACCTCCCTCACAGAATTGTGAAACTAAACAGTGGAGGGCGGGGGAATCACTCTCTGCTTTGAGTTCCATGGAGGAAAGAAGCCTGAGTTTCACATACAAATAAAAAGTTTTTTGCTTGCCTGCGTCCTAAAACACAAGAAATGGTTTGCTTTTGGCTGTATTTAAACATATTCCTGGGCCAGCTTTCCTTTAAGAAAACAACCATAGATGTTTTAGAAAGCTCTTGGTGATCCTTGGTTATTGATTCAAGCACCAAACAGATGTTGGTAACACAATTATATGCAACTTCCTGGCAATGCTCTTAAAATGCATGCCTGCTGCAGGGTTTTTGAGCCACCATTGCGATCTTCCTTAACCTGATGCCCTCCAGATGTTTTGGGTATAATTCCCATCCGCTCCAGCCAACATGTGGAAGGCACCAGCTTGGGAAAGGTTGTACCACAGTAGGCCAGCCAACATAGTTCCCTCCAGATGTTTTGAGACTGAGACTCACACCATCCCTGACCATGGGCCATGCTAGCTGGGACTGATAGGAGCTGTAGAGTAGAACACTTGGAGGCCATCAGGTGGAGAAAGGCTGCTGCAATCCACAACATCTGGGGGTACCAGGTTGGCTACCCCTGCACCAGAGTTCAGTTTCATTTTTGGTTAGAGCAGCTAGCAGATTTCTGTCATTTTTATGGTACCTATTTATCCACAAATGTACATGTTGAGCAGGGTGGAGCGAGCTGGCATCCAGTCAGATAGTGCTAGCCTTCAAAGCAGCATCAGTTCCCCCAAAATCAAGCTACA